ACTATAATATATAACTATACATAATAATANACANACANACTACACACACACANACANANANANACACACACACACACACACACACACACACACACATATATATATGTCACAATCATTGACTGTTTGTAGACATTATTCAACAGCACACATACTAACATCTTCACACCTTACTCGCGACGTCTTTGGAACTTTTCACCTCATCATTCGGCGTTACGTTTTTCTCAGATGGCTTCAGTGCTGGCGACTCCCTGGGAACTCCCACACTCTCCTTGTCCTGTATATCAATTTCACTTACTAAATGCTCATTATTACTACTAATCTCATTATTTTTTATATCATTATGTTTACCACCACCACCATCACTATCGGATGCATCGCTGTCATCTATCTGTCTCAGACGTATGAGTTTCTTGCGTTTCTTGACAGGCGCAGCATTGTCAAGTACTACATCCTCTTCTCCAGAGTCCCCATTGTTTGATATGATATCCATATCTTCAGCTGTATCGCTTGTCTTGGTGGTAAGCATGTCAGTCTTGCGCTACACGTGTCTGTGCATGTGTTCTCTGGCGCGTAAGCTTAAGTTGTATTAAAGTGTGTGGGTGTGTCTGTTTGATACACGCCTGTGTATGTTGCATTTAAGTACTTCTACAGCTCTCGTGGTGTCGTGTGGACTTAAATACTATTTACATAACAAGCAGATTCCATCGAGGAGCACGATAGTTATTTGATATGAGAAGATGTATGTAAAAAGCGCGCCAAAAGAGATGAAGTGAAGCAAGTCTGTGGCATTCATCATTCGTGTTTTCAAGAAAAAGGGTTGATAATAGTCGCCAACACATGACCTCTGTACGAGACCTTGGATTGGCTGGCGTCTTGGCGGTACTTTATACTTTACCGAGGACCTCATTTTATATTTACACTGTACAGTAACCATCACTTACAGTAGTAGGGATTGGAAGTATTATCCAGAGAGGCAAATATATACGTCGATAGCAAGGGCCTAGAGGTGCTTCGTGTGGATAAGTGCATTTATTCGTAGCAGATTCTGGTTCATCACATACACATACACATCACCATGAAGTTGTGGATAGGAGACGAGACGGGGCAGCTCAAGGGTGTGAGTGTGGAGGAAAAGAAGATCGAAAGCAGATACCTCACACTAGCACGCGACAACGAGATTGCGTTCATGTCATTTGGCCCTGGTTCCACTGATGTAATTAGAAGCGAAAATATACTTTGCGGGTTAAAACACGCAGGGAAAGTGAACGTACATTCACACGAGGATGGAGAAATTTTAAAGACGTTTACAGCACCTCCTGGGGAGATGGTGGGTATGAGCGTGTTAGACGGAGATAGTGATGATACGAGCAAGTGCAGAGTTATGATAGCATGCAAAGAGAGCGATACAAAGGGCTGTGTGCAGTACATAAACTGGGACGATAGTAAGGTTGTATACGAGCGGGCATTTGAGGAGAACCTAGGATGTGTGCGTGTATCGAACGAGAATACTAATATATATGCAACCGGGGGAAAGGATAATAATTTGAAGATATATAATATAAATAAGGAACAAGCTATATTTAAGGCTAAGAATTTGCCGAATGATATGACGGATCTGCAAGTGCCTGTGTGGATTAGGGACATAAGTTTTGTGCCAGGAAGTGATGCGACGAAAGTTGTGGCCGGCACTGGTCACTATGAGGTATGAAGATTATTGTCCTTGAGGAAAGTGCTGGATGTATTGCATATCAAACGATTGTTTAAGAATGTATCTCATTTGTCAGATGTGTACATCTTGATATTTATTGATGTTCTTTAATACATAATCACACTCACGACTATATAGTTGTGAGTATGTATCAGCACTCACGCACATGTCACAAACACATCACACACACGCATCACTCTCTCTCACACACACAGACGCACACACACACAAACACACAACCCCCCCCGCCCCACTATATATATATATATATATATAACACTAACTACTCTCTCTC